CTTAGACCTGTTGTTTGCTCCTTTGACCTGTTGTTGTCTGTGTCTTTGACCTGTTGTCTGTTCCTAAGTCCTGTTGTTTGCTGCTGTGATCTGTTTGTGTCTTTGGCCTGTTGTCTGCTCCTGTGACCTGTTGTCTGTATCTTTGACCTGTTGTCTGTATCTTTGACCTGTTGTCTCCTGTGTCCTGTTGTTTGCTCCTCTGTCCTGTTGTCTGTGTCTGTGACCTGTTGTCTGCTCCCGTGTTCTGTTATCTGCTTCTGTGCCCTGTTGTCTGCTCCTCTGTCCTGTTGTTTGCTCATCTGTCCTGTTGTCTGTGTCTGTGACCTGTTGTCTGCTCCTGTGTCCTGTTGTCTGCTTCTGTGTCAAGTTGTTTGAGTATCAAACCTGTTGTCTGCTTCTGTGTTCTGTTTCTGTGGCTATGAACTTTTGTTTGCTCATGTGCCCTGCTGGCTGCTTCTGTGTTAAGTTTTGTCTGAGTTTAAGACCTGTTGTCCTGTTGTCTGTGTCTATGATCTGTTTCTGCTCCTGTGTCCATTTGTCTGTGTATTTGACCTTTTGTCTGCTTCTGTTCCCTGTTGACTATGTATGTGACCAGTTGCCTGTCCATGTGTCCTGTTGTCTGCTCCTGCTGTTTCTGTGTCCTATTGCTGTGTTGTTCTGTCAGCTTTTGTATCATTTTGATCTGCTTCTATATCCTGTTGGTCTGTTTCTGTGTCTTGCTTTTTATACCCCCAAAAACGAAGTTTGGGGGGGTATATAGGATTCACCCGGTGGTCGGGCGGTCGGTCGGTCGGTCCAGACGTCCGTTGCATTTTCCTTGTCCGAAGCATAATAAATAGCATGACTAATGGTTGGAATTCAATATAACTACATACAATGGTCAAGCACATTGAGAGGAAGTGCAGTGCACAAGAACCATAACTCTATCTTGACTAATTACAGAGTTATTGCCCTTTGTTACGTTTCCTTGTCCAGGGCATAACTTGAAAACTACTGGTTGGAATTCAAAACAACTTCATACAATTGTCAAACACCATAAGGGGAAGTGCAGTGCACAAGAACCATAACTCTATCTAAAGTAATTACAGAGTTATTGCCCTTTGTTACTTTTCCATTGCTTTCTTTTGTCCGGACCATAACTTGAAGACTAATGGTTGGAATTCAATATAACTACATACAATGGTCAAGCACATTGAGAGGAAGTCCAGTGCACAAGAACCATAACTCTATCTTGACTAATTACAGAGTTATTGCCCTTTGTTACTTTTCCTTGTCCGGGGCATAACTTGAAAACTACTGTTTGGAATTCAAAACAACTTCATACAATTGTCAAACACAGTAAGGGAAAGTGCATGGCATAAGAACCATAACTCTATCTAAAGTAATTACAGAGTTATTGCCCTTTGTTACTTTTCCATTGCTTTCTTTTGTCCGGACCGTACCTTGAAGACTAATTGTTGGAATTCATTATAACTTCATACAATGGTCAAGGACATTCAGAGGAAGTGCAGTGCACAAGAACCATAACTCCATCTTGACTTATTACAGAGTTACTGCCCTTTGTTACTTTTCCTTGTCCAGAGCATGACTTGAAAACTACTGGTTGGAATTCAAAACAACTTCATACAATGGTCAAGCACAATAAGGGGATGTGCAGTGCACAAGAGCCATAACTCCATCTTGACTAATTACAGAGTTATTGCCCTTTGTTACTTTTCCATTGCTTTTTTTGTCCGGAGCATAACTTGAAGACTAATGGTTGGAATTCAATATAACTTCATACAATGGTCAAGCACATTGAGACGAAGTGCATTGCACAAGAACCATAACTCCATCTTGACAAATTACAGAGTTATTGCCCTTTGTTACTTTTCCTTTTCCAGAGCATAACTTGAAAACTACTGTTTGGAATTCAATACAACTTCATACAGTTGTCAAGGACATTAAAAGGGAATGCAGTGCATAAGAGCCATAACTCCATTTTGACAAAATACAGAGTTACTGCCCTTTGATACTTTTCCTTGTCTGGAGCATAACTTGAAACGTACTGGTTGAAATTCAAAACAACTTCATACAATGGTCAAGCACAAAAAGAGGAAGTGCAATGCACAAGAACTGTAACTCCATCTTCAGTATTTATAGAGTTATTGCCCTTTGTTCCTTTTCTTTGTCTTTCTGGACTTATTACAGAGTAATTAAATTATAAAAACTTCATCAATGGCCAACCACATTGAAAGGAAATGCAACATACAAGAACCACAACTATCTTTAATTGCCCACAACCATAACTCTATATATCAATTCTTTTACAAGGTATTCTGTTACTAGTAACATCCTCATTTCCTAAGCAGTCTTGTGGGGGTATTAATCACATTTAGTGATAGTTCTAGTTGTTTCTGTGGTCTGTTATCTACTTTATATGTGTTGTTGTCTCCTTCCTCTATCCTGTTGCCATGATTTATGTATCCTGTTCTCTGTTTCCTCTTCCCTGTAGCCCTGCCTCCTATTGTCTGCTTCCTATGCCCTGTTTTCTGTGCCCTTTAGTGTACTTCCTCATTATTTGTCCTGCCTTGCTTCTGTGTCCTGTTAGGTTATGTATTTCCTATAGTGTGACCAGTATCTCAAAGATGTTGATTATACATTTAAAGAGTTTGTATAGCAATTATCAGTATTACAAAATATTAAATTTTAGCATTATATAATTATCTTTTAAGTTTTTAAGAAATAATTAAATTTCCATTAGCTTTTATGTCTGTAATTACAATGTATTTTGAAACTGATGATGAAAGTGCGTGTCAACAAATTTCTGTTAACCATTTAATATAATATACTACTTATTGTTAAAAATAAAGTTTTCATCTGCTATTAATAATGCCTTCATTGTTGTTGATAGACGGGTTAGGAATAAATATTCATTCATAGATGGCAGGCATTATTATGTAAAGAGCTTATGGATGTTTTTGAAATGTTTTCCCAACTGTAATGCTTTATAAATGTATCAAATTAAAATATGCTTATTTGCATCATTTCCATCGTCTACTACAGTTGCATTCCTCAGAAATGAAGGATTGGCAAAATATAGCCACAAGAATATCAAGTAGCCCCAAGAAATTCAAAAAAGGACAAGGTGTGTCATTCATGCATGCTGATTCAATTAGACAATTATTGATGAAATTTTGATTTTAGATACGCCTACTTCTGATGTTGATTTTTCAAAAGATTCTGCAGAAAAAAAAAACTGTTGCGTCATATGTAATAAAATAAACAAATTATTCATATTAAACATTAATCACGTTAAATTCTTGAATACTTCATCATTCCTGAGGAGTTCTTAACCATTTCCTTCTGATGAAATAGAAGCATAGACTATTTCCATACTGCTGGGTGATCTGACATTAAATGTCTTAGGTTTTTGTTGATTATTTGATTTATTTGGCACATGAGTGTTTAGTAAATTCCAATGACATTTTTGTATTTGGAACATACTGTATACTTATCTAATTGTTGATATCTTACAGACAGAAAAAAAAAGTATTTTCTCTATTAAAGCTGTCTTAAATGATAATTAATACACAAGATTTGTGAGGTTTTGATGATGCATGTTCATTTTCATGATATTTACATCTAAAACCTTTAGCTGTTTTTTGGACAATAGAGATACTCCGGAAAGTATGTGGGTTTTTCCCATCTTATCCGGTGTTACAAATTTAACAGTCACAACTTGATAATAACAGAGGATGGCTGCCCCCCACCCCCACTTAAGTGCTTGATAAGATCTATTAATGTACTTTTGTAACTCTTATCAGATTTATCATAATTAAAATTTAAATAATAATTAAGCAATTAAAAATTGAATAAGGGGGATTATCTGAATGACCTCTCAAACCACAACTTGATTTTTCCTGTCCTTTGGTGTTTGAAAAATAACAAGTGAGAGACACTACAAGCTATTCAAATATCCTGGTAGAATATACCTGATATTCTTGTAGATTTTAATAAGAAGAATTATTATGCAGTATGATATGATTATAATAACTTGCACTCAACATTTAAAAGGGCTGCTGTGTCCCAAGATTTTCAGAAAAAGCATTTTTGTTGTGATTTTCAAATACTGGTCATTAAAAGTGAGGTATTGACTTTGCTATTTATAGCAGTTTATCGACACTTGAAAATGGGTGAAAGATTCATCTAAAATATTATGATGACTTAGTGATATTTAAGAAAAGTACAACTGTAGCCACGAGTCTTGGGATTTAACTAGGTAGGGTGAAAGGGCACATAGTCTGTCATGTTGTCTGTTAAATGTTTTTTTGAAAAGTTGGGGCGGTCAGCACATCGATCAGTTTCAATTTGTCTGGCTTCGAATAATAGGTGTTAAATTCTTTCATAATTATGTAATTGGGACCGAAATTTTACTTCGGAAAACAGGAAATAATTGGGTAATGCATTTCGAATAATATTTTCGTATTTATATTTATTTAAATATTTAGAGATAAAAATGGGACAGCAGATCTACTTTGGATAATATAAAGGGTTGTTGAATAACGGGGTTGGACTGTACATTAAATATACATGTTCTGTGCTTCACAGTTTGCAATTTTGAAGACTGCTAGCTGTGCTTGATTTCGTTTATAATGAATTTGTGCTTACAAAAATGAACACTTGGGTAATATCCTAGCTTATCATAGGAACTGTTCCTTCAAAAAAAAAAAGTTCCTTAATTACTTTTGATACAGTAAATGAAGTTAGTTTTTTGTACATTAAGATGCCAGTCTAATTTCTTCTGAGGGTTTTGAGCCTTGAAAATGTCAAGGAACCCCACTTTGTCACTCTCTTAAGCTATATTTATTTGAAAAGCAGTTAAATGACACAGATTTTTTTGTTGCTCTTGATCATATCAAGGCTTGATTCTCAGTACTTGACACAGTTCAATATAGCAAAGTATGCCACAATCTTCAAGAGCTGCATGAATGTTGGTGCATTTCTTTTGTATGTCCTGTCATGTACTTGCAATGTCAGTGTTTCTTATTCTAAACAATGTAATTTCATTTGCCTCTTGTTTATTTGCAGGATTAAAGATGTTGGCAATTTTATGGCAAAGAATGAGAGGGAGAAATACCATAGGTAAGACTAAGTTCTTGGAAATTTCAGAATGTTAAGGGTCAATAGTTACCGGATAAAGTCCCCTATGTTTTTGCAGGGGCAGCTGTCTTTTGCTCCGCCTGTTTCCAAATTTTTATGTTTGGAAAAGTTTTGTGCAACTACTTTTTGTATGTATATACATGTATGTACTGCCTTGATGTATTTATTATTTAGTTATGCACCCCCCTCCCCCCTTTTGGGTGGAAGGAGGAGTAAAAAATTCGATCCAATATATGGTTTATTTGTAATTATTAAATTGATAAGAAAAAGGTAATTAAAGGCTTCTTACATGCTCAGAACAGTTAGTATAAAAATCTATTAATCGATTCTTAGAAAGGAATCCTTTTAAACTAAAATTGTAATTTAGCAATATTTGAAGGGTAGTCATCAGTTTTCTATACTTGCACGTGATATTAATGCACGTTGCAATTCTTGTTGTCAGGTGTCAATTTTGTTATCAAACTTAAGAATATCATTAGTCTTTGAATTGAAAATGTCATGAAAATTAACATGGAGATGTGTTTGAAGTTCTGAATAATAAATGACACTCACAGGTGTTCAAACACTACCTATGAATCTTTATGTCAAAAATCAACTTCTTTACAGGAGTTTTTCTCTGTATTCTTTTCCTCATTTTTGCTTTTTTTTTGTTCTTTACTGGTATTCTTTTTCTCTGTTTGTTTTTTTGTTGTTATTCTTTACTCTGATGAGGAAGTTGATGTTAAAGATTGACACTTTAAAAGCCGTTGAATCAGGCTGGTAGTAATTAGAATGGTAGGAAATGAATTGATAGAGATAGGCCTTGTCTGTTGAATGATAGATTGTTTCTTAAAAAACTTAATTACTGTCAGAATTGATATAAAGAAAAACAGTTTAAATGGCACCTAACATTGGATTTTAATGAAGATAGGAACCAGTTATCATTATTATATACACAAAGTGGATAAACAAAAACACAAAATTGCCAGTATATATTACTTAATGTGTATGGTCAATTGCGAGGACTTTGGGCCTTCACTCTTCCCCTCAGTATGTGTATGTCAATGAGAAAGCACAGGCACATTGACAGATGATTGAAGATCCACTGCAGCATGTAAGACGGCAAGTTTGCTTGCTTTCTCCAGCTTGGGGTTACGTTTAGGTGGCACGTTTGTTTGAGGTTACCTGCTGGTGTCCTGACTAAAGCCAAGGGGAGTTGCCATAAAATGTGGCATGGGCAACTAGGAAATTGTGCTTGGGCGTGTGTGGCCCTAGCACAGAGAGTGACGACTTGAACTAAGCCAGGCCCTTTGCTTGGCACTATTGGCCCTTTTAGAGCTACATCCTTATCACATTGTCTCAGTTTACTGTACATTTAGATTCCCATTGGCTGCAATACAATGACATACTTTTGGCTCAAAATTCATATCTTTGGTAAATACTCCGTGGAAATTGCATGGAGGTAAATTATCACCACTTTGTGGATCAAAATTAACTCTTTAAGGGCATGACTGGAGACATGGTCTGTACTCAACAGCGAAAGCAGTATTTTGTGACTTAACAGGGAGATAGACCCTCATTTAACATTGAATACATACATACAATTAGAAGGACAAGCACCTGTTTATTGTAATAACTGTATGATTTATTGCAAGCTTATATAAATCGACTTGTGTTATTTCTTGCAAGCACAGGATGAAGACGCAATTCTCCACTGTGATGTTCTTGTTTACCAGTTTAAAGCACAGACAATTCCAGTGTATATTTATTGCTGTTAAGAATACACAACCCTATAAACGTTAAAAAAAATCTTTATTATGAATTCATAAAATAGCAGCAAAATTCCTTTTCTTGAAGAAAAGTGAAAAGTACTTCGTAAATTGACAGCAGCAGTGTATATAGATTATACAAACATCAGGATTATCCAATGAATGTGATGTTACAAACTTACAGCATTATTGTAAAATAATATATCGCTAATTAGGGAAAACAAATTTTTTTTGTCATTGTTAATCTTTTCTTTTCTTAGGACCTAGACAGCCAGTTAATGATGATAAATTTAGGTGGACAACTTTAAGCCATATTATATATACTTTTTACAAGAAAGTACTAAATCACTTTATCTAAGCTGTTGTTTGTTGGATAAAAAGTTGTTTTCCATTCTGTTTTGTGATTTTTTTGTCTCCTCATTTTGTTTGATGGCTGGCAAAGAAATATTTCTTACTGCCAAGGTGCGGGCAAAGTGTGCCTGTAAATCATCATGTGGTAGTAAACTGACATTTTTATGACAATTTTTTTTTAATTGGTTGATGAAGGTGTTTGTACTTTTGATTTTAAGATCAAATGCTGGCGTTTTGAATGTAGGGTCAGGGTCATACATTTGGGGTCAGAGGTCATACATTTTGGGTCAGAGGTTACAGTACTATAAATTTATCTTATGTATACATTCATGAAGTTTGCACAGGTTGTTTTTTTTCCTGTTTGTCATGAAAAAAACAGTAATGATTTTTGTAATATAATTTTAGGCTTTATTTTGTCAGTAACATGTTTCAACTTAGTTCGCACATTTTTTTTCTATCTTCTTCTTTATATGGTTTATGTCAGTCACACCTGCTGGATTGACTAGCTGTATTGGTTAAAAAAAATAATTACGTCAATTAACAGACTATAGTTTTAATTATTGTAAAATATGTAAAAAGATCTTAAGTCTCTTGTAATTCTCTACTCAAAGAATGACTATGTACAATGTTATGTTTATCTATTATGCTAGAATATATGAGCTGCACCATGACAAAACCAACATAGTGCATTTGCGACCAGCACGGATCGAGACCAGCCTGCGCATCCGCACAGTCTGATCAGGATCCATGCTGTTCGCTATCAGTTTCTCTACTTGTTATAGGGTTTGTAAGCGAACAGCATGAATCCTGATCAGACTGTGCGGATGCTCATAAATTATGTAATTGTGCATAAATGAGACTATAATAAATAAATAAATATTTGGAATTCATTTCAGTTCTTTCCAGTTTTTATGGATGGATGAACCTGACACTGTCAACAACATCATGCTGGCATTCATAAGTATGCCGTACGTAATGGTTTTAGACCCGACCGTCCATCTGTACTATGTCCCTGAATCCCCAATAGAAGATTTAGATGCAACATCTATAGGAAATTTTCTCAAAAATGTGAAAGATGGGAAAATGCAGGTAAATATGTGCTTGAAAAAATGAATCTGTGATGTACAGTAACACTCCTGAAAACTAGACACCTTCTGGCATTGTCTTAATACATGTGTCTGGTTTTGTAAAAATTATAATGACCTGTTACACATTTGATCTAATTCAAAATTTTGTTACTTTCTTCCAAAAATATACAAACTGAATCATCAGAATTTTCTGGAACTGGAGAAGTTCTGTTTTCATGATTCATTGAGTAAAACCTGATAGGCTGTATAACTTCAATTTCTTACTAACCCGTTTAGACTTCATAACTTTGATTCCTTTATCCCATAGGATATATAACTTTAGTTAATGCTTATCCCATAGGCTATATAACTTTAATTAATGCCTATCCCATAGGATATATAACTTTAGTTAATGCCTATCCAATAAGCTATATAACTTTAGTTAATGCCTATCCCATAGGCTATATAACTTTAGTTAATGCCTATCCCATAGGCTATATAACTTAAGTTAATGCTTATCCCATAGGATATATAACTAGTTAATGCCTATCCCATAAGCTATATAACTTAAGTTAATGCCTATCCCATAGGCTATATAACTTAAGTAAATGCCTATCCCATAAGCTATATAACTTTAGTTAATGCCTATCCCACAGATTATATATCTTTAGTTAATGCCTATCCCATAGGCTATATAACTTTAGTTAATGCCTATCCCACAGACTATATAACTTTAATTAATGCCTATCCCATAGGATATATTACTTTAGTTAATACCTATCCCACAGACGATATAACTTTAATTAATGCCTATCCCATAGGCTATATAACTTTAGTTAATGCCTTTCCCATAGGCTATATAACTTTAGTTAATGCCTATCCCATAAGCTATATTACTTTAGTTAATGCTTATCCCATAGACTATATAACTTTAGTTAATGCCTATCCTATAGGCTATATATCTTAGTAAATGCCTATCCCATAGGCTATATAACTTTAATTAATGCCTATCCCATAGGCTATATATCTTTAGTTAATGCCTATCCATAGGCTATATAACTTTAATTAATGCCTATCCCATAGGCTATATAACTTTAGTTAATGCCTATCCCATAGGCTATATAATTCAGTTAATGCCTATCCCATAAGCTATATAACTTTAGTTAATGCCTATCCCATAGGCTATATAACTTTAATTAATGCCTATCCCATAGGCTATATATCTTTAGTTAATGCCTATCCCATAGGCAATATAACTTTAGTTAATGCCTATCCCATAGGCTATATAACTTTAGTTAATGCCTATCCCATAGGCTATATAATTCAGTTAATGCCTATCCCATAAGCTATATAACTTTAGTTAATGCCTATCCCATAGGCTATATAACTTTAGTTAATGCCTATCCCATAGACTATATAACTTTAGTTTATGCCTATCCCATAGGCTATATAACTTTAGTTAATGCCTATCCCATAGACTATATAAACTTTAGTTTATGCCTATCCCATAGGCTATATAACTTAAGTTAATGCCTATCCCATAGGCTATATAACTTTAGTTAATGCCTTTCCCATAGGCCATATAACTAAAGTTAATGCCTATCCCATAGGCTATATAACTTTAGTTAATGCCTATCCCATAGGCTATATAACTTTAATTAATGCCTATCCCATAGGCTATATAACTTTAGTTTATGCCTATCCCATAAGCTATATATCTTTAGTTAATGCCTATCCGATAGGCTATATAACTTAAGTTTATGCCTATCCCATAGGCTGTATAACTTTAGTTAATGCCTATCCCATAGGCTATATTACTAGTTAATGCCTATTTCACAGACTATATAACTTTAATTAATGCCTATCCCATAGGCTATATAACTTTAGTTTATGCCTATCCCATAGGCTATATAACTTTAATTAATGCCCTATCCCATTGGCTATATAACTTTAATTAATGCCTATCCCATAAGCTATATAACTAGTTAATGCCTATCCAACAGGCTATATAACTTTAGTTAATGCCTATCCCATAGACTATATAACTTTAGTTAATGCCTATCCTATAGGCTTATTACTTTAGTTAATGCCTATCCCATAGGCTATATAACTTTAGTTAATGCCTATCCCATAGGATATATATCTTTAGTTAATGCCTATCCCATAGGCTATATAACTTTAGTTAATGCCTATCCCATAGGCTATATATCTTTAGTTAATGCCTATCCCATAGACTATATAACTTTAGTTAATGCCTATCCCATAGGCTTATAACTTTAGTTAATGCCTATCCCATAGGCTATATAACTTTAGTTAATGCCTATCCTATAGGCTATATAACTTAAGTAAATGCCTTTCCCATAGGCTATATAACTTAAGTAAATGCCTTTCCCATAGGCTATATAACTTAGGTAAATGCCTTTCCCATAGGCTATATAATAGCAGTATAACTTTAATTGATTCCTAACATGATAGACTATATAACTTAAGTAAATGCCTTTCTCATAGGCTATATAACTTAGGTAAATGCCTTTCCCATAGGCTATATAATAGCAGTATAACTTTAATTGATTCCTAACATGATAGGCTATATAACTTAAGTAAATGCCTTTCTCATAGGCTATATAACTTAAGTAAATGCCTTTACCATAGGCTATATTACTTAAGTTAATGCCTTTCCCATAGGCTTTATAACTTAAGTAAATGCCTTTCCCATAGGCTATATAATAGCAGTATAACTTTAATTGATTCCTAACATGATAGACTATATAATTTCATTTTTTTCCTCACTATAGAATGCTTTATTATAAATATCTTGCAACATTGTGCAACTTAGCAGTAATTTCAATTTGAGGTTTATGCAGTAAAAGTACAACTATTAACAAAAAACATTCTAATGATAAGAAAATTTTGAAGAAAAAAGTGCAGAATATTTTGCAATTTCTTGGCACTTTTAAAATGTGGGAAGGTAAGATTGAATTTGTCATTTCTAATATATAAGCAAAACCTTTGTGAAGACGGTTTTCATTAGCTCAACAAAGTTGATGTTGTTGTTGAATAATATCGGAATTTTGTAAAAAATGGGAGATAACTCATTATTTATATAAGAGTAATTAGATTCCAGGCTTTGATAAAGTTCCAGGATATAAAATTATGTGTAAGGTGTACCATTACATACTAAATGTGCTTAAAGGAACACCACAGAGGTTCAAAAGCCTAAAGACATATAACTTTAATTTCTTTCATAGATCAGCTGGGGCACTAAAAACAGAAAGATATGCAACATATAATCAGAAATGCCTTCAGAATTGTATGTTTTGTTATTCTCTGCAGGATTTGAGCAAAAAGCATTACAACACTTCAATTCTTGTTGGTTTTTCACTACTGGAATATTATTTTGGAAAAACAGAAAGCAAATTACCTGAAATTTTGCACAAAAGTTGTTGGTATAGACCTACATCAAAATGGAACATTATTTCAATATCTCAAAATATTTCCAGTTCATGGTAATAACCTCAGTGGAGTCCCTTTAAGGGCACATTATATCTCAGAAATAGATAAAAAAAATCTTTGTCTTCTTTAAAAATGCAAACATAAGTTTTATTATACTTAAATACATGTAATTGTTTTAGAGCATGTTTGATACTTATCACCTGAAGAACGAAGAGCTGAATGTGAAATAATGTGTCCAAAAAGTAGCAAAATGTAAACAAAATAGATCTAGTATTTGAACTTCAATACAATATCACTATAAATGTACATGTATTAACTGCCAAGAAGCAATAGTAGATGATTCAGGTAATTGGCCAATGAGTAACTTTTTTTGAAAACTTTAAAAATACACCAAAAATTAAAAGCTTTTGAGACATAAAAATGAAGCATTTTTTTGCAAAATGAGCCTTTAATATGGAGAAGTTTAATACACAAATTTATACAACAACATCACAATAGTTGCTAATAGAGGTAAAGGGAAACATGGTTCATAAAGTTTACTTACAACAGACATACCTAAGTTAAAGACCATTCTAAACATTGTACACAAAGGTCAGTCTCATGGCATTGATCTCTCATGACTGATTCAAAAATCATATTTGATTAGTAGTTGGTATCTTTAGGAAAATTACTGGTTTGTTATCTGGAGAAAAAACCCAGGAAAATTGTCTTGGTTTGTTATGTGGGGGAAAACAGGAAAATAACTGGTTTGTTTGTTATCTGGAAAAAAAGGAAAAGTTTCTTGGTTTGTTATCTGGGGAAAAACAGGAAAATAATTGGTTTGTTGTGTGGGAAAACAGTTGTGTGGATCAACAGTCAAGACATTTTTTAGGAATAAAACTTGCCTATTCAAAATTTTTAACCAAAGTTACATTTATAAGTAGACTGTGTTACTATCATGGTTTGTTAAATAAAAGATTTACGTGCTGTAGGAATAAACTAAGTTCAACTAATCAACTTGTCAATTATCAGTAATTTATGGCCTGCAATAAAACATTTTGTGAAAAATTAGTTAGTACTTAGTTCTAGCCTCATAAAATGTGTTTTTATCAGTGTATCCATTATCTATAGCCATCAGAAGAAAACTAATTAGATGATGAATGAATAGTTATTGGTAAAAAAAACCAAGCCATTTATCAGGAGCTTAAGAAAAGTTAGATCACTCTTGTGATAATATATTCAGTGAAAGATTCTCAAGAGTTTTGTCCCTTTTCACTGCTTGATCCAGATGATAAAAATGTTGTAGACTTTTTTGTGTAATTTTTTATTTTGAAAATATAACTAGTGTATAAAATCAAAATAGATCTAGAATGTAAAATGGCCATTTTATACCTGTGTGCAAGCATAAAACTGAAATGGTACATGGGAAATTGACAAAAGTCCTCGCCCTCCCCATGAAAATGAGAAAATGGAGGAAAGTTCTCCAGTGAAACTGACAGGGTTGACATATGATACATTAATCATTTATGTGCTGCTTTTATGTGCTGCTAAGTTTTGATAAGACACTTGAGTTTCCTTAGTCATAAGATTATAAAACATAATATTAATACATAAATATGCCACTGCGAAAGACAAACACAGTTGGGGCATATATGGACACATTTTTAGTTTTAACAATCAATGTGTAAGGCACTATTACACTGGATCTCTGTTGTTGTTTTTTTAAAGTCTTATAAATGGTAAGGAAATTTAGTAATTGGAGAATCAAACTTGTGTCCTGGATTAGTAGCCAGACAATGTTACCATTGGAACACTACATCAGCTCTCCTGTTTTAAACTTTTCATGGGCCATGCTTTAATATGTTATGCAAAAAATACCTAAATGTTCATTGTATGTTTCATGTTTTATTTTAACCAATCAAATTTGGTTGGAATGCTGCATTAACATTGTTTCATTGCAGGCAATGGGAGGTACAGGATTCTTTCAGAGACTGAAGAGATTATTTTATGACATTCTAGTCACCGTTATAGTAAGTATTAAGCTTTTTTTATTATGATATAATTATGGATTAACCCATTCCTGCATTGATAAAATGTACAAAGTATATTAAGATACTGCTTAATTCTTTGCCAAAATACTTTGGTGTCTGCCACTTTTTAGCAACAAATGGACCAGTTTAGCTAGTGGAAAGGTATGTGGTGCGACATAGATACAGGGGCATCCAGGTAAAAATCACATGCAAAGTGTCATGTACTGCCTGGATAAATAGTTGTTTATGCACCCTGAAAGTTATTTGGAAGTATATAGTTTTAGCTTAGTTTCTTTCTGTTCTTCTGTGTTTTGTGGGTCTGTCCTACATTTTTTCCCTGGGCAGCTTTATTTATTGACTGATATCTTCTACATTAATTTTAATCTTCCAAATTTGGAAGATATAGGTAGATATTTTGTAGATCTAGAATGGTGTTTGGGGTCAAGGTCATCAATGCGATTTACCCTTTTACTCAACTGGCATCTTTTATATTTGGTAAGTACATCCTTTGGTGATCCTCTTAAGGACGATTTTGGGAGTTTTCATATAGACATATAGGCAAAATTAAAACTGTTCAATAGAATTTATTTAAACTTGGCATGTTGTTAGAATATGAAAACAGAAACATTTTAAGCGGAAAAAAAATTGGGGTCACCGTACTCATTTTTGAGATATCTGCCCTTGAATTCGAGTTTTTCGTTAAATTCAAGGGCAGATGATTTACAATGAAAAAACAATACATTTTTTTTTCTTATTTTCATAAAGCTTACCTTCCTTTTAGTCAATATGCAAAATTTCAAGAACAAATTTAGAGTGGGTAGTTTTTTTCCACATTTTCTTTTTAACTGTGCATTTTTTCTTAAAAATACCCTTTTTTTAAGAATTTAAAGTACCTTTATTTTCATTGAAAAAATATAACAGAAACGATATAAGGAATTGCTTGTTATTATGAATTGTACTCAATAATAAAAAGGAAAACATAATCCAGAAGTAAAATCAAGAAATCGTTTAAGTATGTATAAGTTATCTGCCCTTGAAATGACCTCAAATAAGTAGAAAATTCTAACGACATGCCAAGTTTAAAGAAATTCTATTGAACAGTTTTAATTTTGCCTATATGTCTATATGAAAACTCCCGAAACGTCCTTAAACTTTGAGGAAGAGGTAACTTGGATAAAGGTCATCAGCACTAAAAATAGATTTTTACACCCTTCATAGTTGGTAGGTTTATGGTTGGATGCTACTCTTAAGATAGAGTAAGGCGTCTCTTGGGTAAAGGTCACCAGTAAGGGAGCATCCATCATCTTTGAAGATAATTATGTCTTGTTTCTTTTTTCTTTATGCCTGGTACTTACCAAATACTGCGAATTCTCTTACATTTGTGGGCATGAAATTTTGTGGTTTTGTCAAAACGGGCATTTTCTTGGGTTCTTAATTTCGTGGATTTTCATTTTCTTGTAAAAAAATTTAATAACCTAATGCAAAGTAATCTTTAACTTAATCGCCGAACATTTTTACTTACAGCATGTACATATCTTTACGTGTCACACAGCACTTGTCAATAAATTTAATCCTTTCCTCTGGGTATAGCGCAGTTACTGCCGATAACTGACTGCAATTAACACATACTGTGACATGATATGCACCTCCATTAGACACACTTCCCCTGTAATTCGCCGATGTAAACATCGCATAATTTATACGACACCCAGCGAGTTTAAAATGTCTACACCCTGAATTGGTCTTACCATATTTGACAGTAACTACACGCAACGTTACAGCAACTGTGCAAATTTACATGCATATAAATTAATCTGAGTAAATAACACGAGTATGTGTGGATCTAGAAAAAGTCGGTGGCGTCTTTGATGTTTACGTAATAGCATTCGCACAAATAAAAACGACAACAGAATGTACAATTCATCTGTTTTAGCGATTGTATTTTTTTATAGTTTTGTGTACTTACGACATTAATATCAAAGACTTTTTTTTTAATAAATAAGAGCAAACTGACATTTTTATAAGCGGTAATTATTGAATAGCCTGGGTTCCCATATATTTACTTGATTATGTCAAGTATTCTAACAATGATCAAGTGTGTATATGCGACCGACATTTGCGACAGTAAATTGCGGACATATAATCGAGTTTTCTTTCAAGTTCTTAAATATTGCAAACGGATTTAATCTGTCACTTACCTGATTATTTGTACTATATGTATATAGACCTACATCCATTTCACAAAAATCGGCCTGAAAAGAGCCGACGCATGTTTGTAATATATAGAACAGAGACTGGGTAAGAAGTATTTGTTGGGATAAAATTTTGTGGGATCTTAAATTCGTGGATTGACCTACCCACGAAAACAACGAAAATTCGTACCCCACGAATAATAATGATTTTACAGTACATTATACATCTGACTTTAAGTTATGACACAATTTCTTTCATAACTAAGTGCCTTGTGCACACTTGTGCTCAGTGACATAGCTATGCTTCTTGCCAGAAAAGAAAAATTTGATGTATATACACCTTTTATATTTTTAAAATAACTTAACTTTTATACTTAATAACCTGTATAATAGATTTGCCTAGCTTTGAATTTGGAACAGTAAAAAATTAAGGGATTTCAGTGTCAAAATACAATACTTGTACTATCAGTAGTACTTTAAGCCTCATGGTCAAACTTAAAAAGGTTTGCATCAGGTTTAGGATTGTCTCCAACCATTTAAATTTATGTAGGTGAAACAAGTTAAATGTGAACTATATTAGCTGAACTGCCTGGTGGCTCTTTACTAAAGTACTTCTTGCACCAGGTGCTAAATTTTATTGTTGTTTTCAGTTAGAAACTAAATATATATATTTATATTACATAAACACTTCAGTTATATTCCTATCTAGTTAGTTCTACTTTGTATTAAGAATGTAATCTTTATATTTGGTTAATTTCTCGTATTAAAAGGCATATAAAAAGCACCTGTTATACCATGAGCTAGTGCATAGAGGTTTATAATGAACCGTTAAAGGCAAAATACTTAAGCATTTAATCAGTTACTATTTACTGCTAGAATCTGAATGTTTTGGAACAATAATTTTTGCTGATTTAACAATATTTTATTGCTGACTTAACAAAATTTTTTGCTGATTTAACTTTCTTTTTCCAAATTAATGATTATGATGTGTTTTTCTGATTTAACAATATTTGTTCTATTAGATAATAACATTTTATAAATATTTTTTTGCTGATTTAACTCTGTTTATCTGATTTATTAACAATAATTTTTTTTTTGCTAATTTAACGAAAATTAATTGATCTATGATTTTAATGTTTTTTTTAGATTTCTTTCAAATAATGTTTACCGGTATGTCATAGCTGATAGAAATCTTCCAATTGACTAATATTTAGCAAAATATTACATAAATTTTAAGGACATCATAATATTATACAGTGTAAAATTAATAACTTTTTTGCCAATATATCAACATATTTTTGAACACTCTTGACATTTTCATTTCATATGGTAACTTTTAACAATTCTCTAAAGGGGAATCTCTAACATAGTGATTACTCAGTAATTATTATGGAGTGTTGATAACGCTGATGTTGTACAGAAAATTTCCCATATTCTATATTTCCCATATTCAGACAGCTTCCTCCCATGAATGAATCCAAAGTCCCTTTGGAATTCAAACGCAGTGCCATGAGGAACAAGTTCTAAGTTTGTGATCATGGACGCCCCTCCAAACTGACATTTCAGAATAATTTCATGTATCACCAATTTGGAATTTTTTCATGTAAAATTGAGGAAAGAAATTAGCTTTTTACATTGAAAATGCTCTTTATAAATAAATAGAGATTACTTTATTTGGAAAATATATTTATCTACCTAAAATATTACCCTTGTTTTTATGACCGAACAATTAATGTGTCAGGTTTTTCCCTGTTTATAATTTAAAGTTAAAATTTTCATGTGTGAGCAGTGTTTTATGTTGTGATCTGGCTATAAATCTATGATAAATTATTTACCCAGATTTTTATCGGTAGCTCTATTTGATTTTACTAAGAACAGCCCTTCATTGATAACGAGCTTTTTTTTATGACAAAATGTTTAGAAGACACAATTGTAAGAAATTTCATGATTGTAAAACTGTCATATTTGATACATTATTTTTTTGTCTTTTCATTTTTAAACAAATAAACTTTTGTACTGACTTGTTGTCCAATATATATCTTGGCAAGTGTATAGTAGGTTATTATATTATACATGTAGTTTTCATAATTTGTTCAGTAAAATTGCTCCAACATAAAATAAATCTCAAAGATTAACTTATTTTGTACAGTTGCTAAACTCCGGCAGTAACAGGTTCTACCCATGTGACCAGGGCGGACCAAGATCAGCTGGCAAAGTCTGATCATGGTCTGCACTGTTTGCTTTTACAGACAGTATTTCGAATTTTTTTCCAGATTAATAGGTACATTTAAGATATTTAGAGGAACATTGAGGGTTGAGTACAAAAAAGTTCATGTATTTAAACATGATGTTTGTTTTAATATATGAGCTCGAATATTTGAAGCAAAATAAATAAAGCTGTTCAACTGACCTTGGCAACAGCATTGATCAGTGCAATAATTCTTTATGGTTTTAAAGCAGCATGCTTCCAGATTCATGCTTATTTTCATGAAAATTTTTAAAACGTATTTTAAAAAAAATATATTGTGAAGTGAGCAAATCAAGTAATTTACATATTTCAAGCAGCATTTATAATCCACGTAAATTACCAAAAAAAGAGGTCAACTTATGCAAAAATAGCTGTTACTGCGTAAGTGATGCAGAAGAAATATGGTGATAGATACTGCAAAATCAGTCGCAAATTATATGTAAATTATCAATTGAATCATTGCAAATACATTTTTCTCAAGTTTTATTTTCTTGAAATATTTTGGCTTATCTAGTTACATGAGTCTTTGGGAGAGTAAAAGCATAAATTTTAAATTATTG